TTGGTTCTCTTGCTTGAAAGCTGATGCAGTGAATATGTATGCTCACCCACGCATGTGTTTTGTAACATCTCGCTTTCTGTGTAGAGACCAGTTTGATTATGTTGCAATTTTCCCAGGTTTTTCTTGATAATTCTTGCTTGTGAGGTGATGTAGTGACTACGTATGCTCATCATACATTTGTTTTGGTAAAATATTACTTTTGTATGCTTTATATCTTTTGCGTCATCATTTTATGAAACCTACAGAAACCTCTTTCAATGCAATTTTGATTTTGTTACAATTTTCATTTTTTTATTGATTAGTCTTGCTGTGGGCTGATGTAGTGGCTATTTATGCTCAGCTTACATTTGTTTTGGCAAAATATTCCTTAAAACGTGTTATCTTTCGCATCACCATTTCATGACACCTACAGAAACCTCTTTAGCAATGCAATGGAATATAACCAACATAGGGCATACTTTACATCAGTTGGTAAGGGAAATACATGTACGGTTATTGTACTACCTTTTTTTCTTTAAAGCAACAATGAAGCAAAACTACATTTCATTGGAGCAACCTTTTCCTCTTGATGTTATCCTGATACACAATTCCAGACTCCATGTATTTTACATCAAAACGCAGAAACACGGTTACAACATCCCTTCTAAACGAATAAGTACATGGTTGCAGTTTTCAGTCATGTTTTCTTGATTAATCTTGCTAGTGAGAATATGCAGTAAATTAACGTAAATATACTGGTTTTGTTCATGTCACCAAAAACCTCCCCTGGTATAGGCTATAGCATTATAATATAAGGCGATGCTAACTACATGAAAGGTTCTTTTTCAATTACCAGTGTAGGGTATTGAAAGGACTATGAAGAGGGTAATAATAAAGCACAACTAAACATCAAATCATTGGAACAACATTGTCCTCTTGATGGTCCATCCACATCAAAACTAACAACTACTGCCACATCATCTCTTGTAGACGAGTTTGATTTGATACCAGTTTTCAAACATATTTTTCTTGATTATTCTGTATTCTGGCTTGTGACGTTATATAGTAAATACACATATAAATATGCTGTTGGAATGCCTTGCCTTAAATTGTTTGCTTTCACGTCATCATTTTATGAAACATTCACTAAGGCAAACACTAGCCCCTGGCTATAACATTATAATATAATGGAGTGTTACAACATATGACAGTCAACCAACCAACCAATCAATCAATGGTCCACAGCTGGGAGTAAAAATACAGTCAACCAGCTCGCAGTGAAAATATTTTCTTACAGCAACTTAACATCGAATCATTGGAACAACATTGTCCTCTTGATGTTTTCGTAAGAAACAAGTTCATCTACATCAAAACTGAGACATAATGTTACATTTATCTCTTGTCGACGAGTTCGATTTGATTACATTTTTTTAATTTTTTTTAAATGTTTCTTTCTGACTGGTGAGTTAATGTAGTAAATGCACATGCTCACCCGAGATTGTTTTTATCACTATTTGCAAACTTGCTATTTTTACATCATATTTTATATAAGTACTGATAAACCAAAACTTATTTTCCACACAACATATCATCATGCATGTTTACATCTACTTGAGTCTCTGTGTCACTGTGCTCTGCGTAAATAATTAATAAGTGGTGCCATCTTCGAAATTATGTCTTGAAAAAAAATTTAAATTGAAATCTGTTTTCTATACAGTAATCCTTCTCATCATCAGCACGATGCCATTGTTTGACTTGACTAAATTCAATTCTTTTCCTGGCGCAGACAACGATCACAATGTTACATCTGAAAATGAATATTACATCTCTATATACACACTTCTAGTCACAAATATAAGATTTCTCCAGCGTTGAGTTCTTCAGAATAGGGGTCTTGGTCATTTCATGTTGTTCTGTTTACGTACCTCGTCGTCCTGTACACTACTAATAAATCTACATTGTATACTACGAATACTTCCACTGCAGTACCACAAAGTTTAACAGAAATGGTTGAAGAAATCGTGACTGCTTTCTAAATCTACATCGAAATTTGTAATGCACACGACTAACATTGCCAGTACTTTCTGTACTTGGTGCTATTTTCATTTATTGTAACAAACAAGCTCCATTCGGTCTGTAAGACTGTTACAATAATAAGACATAAAATTCCATGCCCTAAATAAAATTTGTCTGATGTTGTTTGAGACATAACTCGACGATACTATACTGACATACAGTAGGACTTACTCGTCAGATGTTGCCTTTTTTCCTTCTTCAATGCACTATTGGGCTGAGTTTGAGTTTACTTTGGTGCCATGCAGACGAATGGTTTACATCTGCTGCACTTTACGTCATTCCATTGTCCTTTCTTCCTATCCTTGATCCAAAAAAAAGCCTTTGTGACTTCCCTTCCGTCCTATGGAAAACCAATTAAAGACTCAGTATGTATATTTTTCTGCACAGTTTTAGTAGCATTCATACTTTGTGGTATGAATGCTACAAAAATTCCGAGTGGTTCAGGTAAGTTATGCACGCAGAAAAAGGATTTCGAGTCCGGGTATTACTGTTTGTAGCCACAGACAAGAGTACTGAGTGAAACAGCATATATTTTCCTCCAAAGATAAACCAAGGAACAGGAACACTCACCTTTTTGTAGATAACGACGCAATTTTCTCCGCCATAAAACCAGTGATCGTCAGGCTGACCCGGAGCCCAGTTCTTGTAGGAAACTGCTGACCCGTCCGTCCACTTGCTGTGTTGTAGTCCTATCCAGACCATATCATCAGATGCACCTGCAAATAAAATGAGGCGGCTTTTAAGCAAAAGATAGCTCATTTTGTTTGTTTGCATACAAACAAAACATTTTATCAAAACGTAACAAACTACTTTTGTACTCATTACCTCCGGGGAAGGAGATGTTTCCTTCCGTAGAAGGTTCTGTTTCTGTTCGTGTTTGTGTGTTGGCAGCTGTAACGGTGGGTTGGGCGGATTTCTTGCGTTCTCGGTATATGATTAGCTCTTGGGATTCAGATTACATTTCTTGTAGCGTCACACTGAACATTGCTATTAGTGTGACATCAGCAGTCGTTGTGATATTTTCATACTTCCTGGAGGTTTTGATCTCTGATTTATTGTTGTTGTAAAAGTACCTCTCTTAAAGACAAAACTTGCTAGGGATATGAACCCAGAATATGACTTGTTCATTTTTCGTCAATGACTGCAAGGCCTCTATTGCATCCAGAATCGTACCTAATATGAATGAATAAATGAATGAATGTTTTTTTTTCTGTAAAACATTGCAGCCGTCCGGCTGAAATACGTTTTGCTTACATAAATTAAATACATTCTGGATAAAACAACTACGATGAATTACACTACCATTACACCATCCTTCCAAGTCTGGAACCCAAACATTCAAATCGTCACCCAAAACAATACTTTCGTCTCGGAAGTGATGAAGTTAGATTGGATGTCCATCCTGTGGAAATGTAGCCAAAGAGTTGCACAATACTCACGAGATATGATACTTGCAATGAAGTTGTTCCCCTGGCCGTCCCTGATAGAAGCGAGATTCGCGCCCATTCCTTTGCACCTTTGGTTCGCTGTACTGAAGCGGACTTTCTCGTTAATCAGCTTGTAGCAGTGGTTGTTGTGTTCCCTCCACCCATGCCGACAGCGCCGGGCTACAACAGAAGAGGCGATGGTCAATGTATGTCTCAAAGTTAACGGTTTGCCGGAGACTCTCTTAGAAACAGCAAGGAAATAGTCTCCACTGTTGTACTATGGTCCCCAGAACATGGGAGAAGGACGCCTGGAGGACCGCCCCTCACCTACTCAGATGTGTTGCAAATAAAGGGACACCGGTCTTCAGCTGTCATGGCATGGGGAAGGCTCTGAAGGACAGGAGCTACTGGACAGCCATGGACTGATGAGAAGAAAAGGACTGTCACCCGACATAAGTCAAGTAACACTGGGCGAAAAGACTTCGGATGCAGCCGGATCCCAAGGATGCGAATTTGCATCTCCTTGCGGATGCTGCGCGGATCCCCAAGAATCCCAAGGATCGCTAATCCCACACCAAGAATCCCCAGGGTTGCGGATCCCACAAACATCCGTAACGCATACGTATGCATCCGTAACTCGCAGCGGATGCAGATGCGGCATTTGTAGGGATACTTACTTCGCAGCGGATGCAGACACGGTATCCGTTTGGATACTTACTCGTTACGGATACGTTAGAAATATATATAGTACGTCGTTAGGATAGGAGATGTCACATTTTTAGGGGTCATGACCTGTCATATTTTTGGACTACCGTTTATAACATAGATATAAGTGAGACAATCCACTATAAACTGGATACAAGGATACTCGTATTCTTGGGAGTTTTTTTTTAACATCCTTGGTCCCACTCCACAGCAGAAGCGAATTGTGGGTAATCTAGGGATTTCTTGAATATTTTAATTAGCTTTTTTACGCATCTCCGCGTCCACTCCACAGCAGAAGCGAATTTTGGGTAATCTGGGGATTTGTTAAATATCCGAATTTGTTTTCGTGCGCATCCGCGGGCCCACTCCACAGCAGAAGCGAATTGTGGGTAATCTGGGGATTTGTTAAATATCCGAATTTGTTTTCGTACGCATCCGCGGGCCCACTCCACAGCAGAAGCGAATTGTGGTAATCTGGGATTTGTTAATATCCGAATGTGTTTTCGTACGCATCCGCGGGCCCACTCCACAGCAGAAGCGAACTGTGGGTAATCTGGGGATATCTTAAATATCCAAATTTGTTTTTCGTACGCATCCGCAAATTGTTGAAATTACAATCGCCACAAGAGGGCGCGCCCGTAAATTGCCATATACGTACATTGTAACGTTGCCTTTTGCGCGTCGCATAAGCAAATGTCTGCTCGGATTCGTGACTGTACTGATTTTTGCTGATTGGAAACTTTGCGTATC